ACAGATCTGGTTGAATTTGAGTCGGATTAGTAATAGGTTGGGTTGAATCCAAGTCGGGTTGAATTCGGGTCGGGTTAGTAACAGGTCGGATTGATTTCGGGTTTCAACTGGTCAAAACGGGTTTGAGCCAATCTCGGGTTTGAGTCGGGTTCGCTTCAGGTCAATAATTGACGGGTTATGTTCGGGTCGGGTCATGTTTGGGTTCGGGTCACGAATCCTAAGGTTAACTCGGGTCTCGGGTTGATTTCATGTCAGGTCATATTGGGTTCGCATCACCAATTTCTCGGGTTCAAACAGGTCAGGTCATGATCGGGTTCGTATAAAATTTTCGGGTCGGGTCAACTTTTGACAGCTCTAGGTGGCCGGCCATGTGGGGTAGGTTTAGAGGGTTTCGGGCTTTCTAACCTAGTCTAATTATGATATGATTATAGATAGACTAAGTGCCTATGGTTTTTATATATATAATACAGTTTTACTGTTAATCAAACCCGAGTTAGCAAACACGAAACCCAACCCTTCTCAAACCCTCTCTTTAACGGCTCTCTCTCTCCTCCTTGCCTCGGTGTGTGTTTGGTGGTGGTGGTGGTTCGTGGTGGTGGTCGGTTATTTGCAAAGGTGGTAATCGTGGTGTTTCCCTTTCATCTGACCAATATAACATTGGTGAATGGCTTATTCGAATCCCGTAGACTAAGTAGAGGAGCAACGCTTAGGGCTCTATTCTCTCCCTAATTGTCAATCAATTGCTACGTAAAAATCACGCTTCAAAGGTATAATTATGTGATTCTTGTGTGTTATGTATGGGGCTAAGCAAAATCATCCGAAAAACCGAAAATCCGAACCGTAATCGAACCGAAAATTAGGGTACCCGTTTCGTTAATCATAACAGTTCGGGTACCCGATTCGATAATTTGTTATCGGGTACAATTATTGGATATCATTTTTAAATTAACGGTTACCCGATCTGATCTGATAAGCAATTTTTTCTTTTTTTTTTCCTACTTAAATCTATTTATCCAAAATCTAAACTCTTACTATACTTCTTAATCACTTCATAATTTTAATGATTAGTAATATTATTAGTAACTAGGTTAGAACCCGTCCGATGCACGTTTATATAAAATATAATCTTATAATTTGTACATTTAAAAAAAAAAGGATAAATACAAATAAGAATTATGCATGCACCTTGTACAAAATTTTTTGTAATTTTAAAATTTTAGATTTTCATCAAAATTATGATATAATACATGTTCAACGTCGCTTAATACATATTTCAATGTAGGAGTCCATTTATTAGTGTGCTATTTAAAATTGTTTCATGTTTTTAGGATAAATTGATAGATTGTAGTTGTAATGTAGAAGCTTCTAATATTTAACTTTCAAAATTGTTAAATATGGTAGCTCCACAAAAAAACAAAAAAAAAAACAAAAAAAGATGACATCATCCTTGCATTTAGACGGGAAATTTTTTATTATGAGAGTGACATATGGACAGTGATGACATCAGCAACATTTTGTTTTATTAATAGTTAATAGATTTGGTCATAATCATGTGGTATTATTGTTAATTAGTGTTGAATATATCATAATAACTAAATTATAAAGTCTAACTTTTCATTATTGGATATCATATTGGGTACCCGATAACCGTTCCAAAAATTCGGGTACCCGAACTTATCGGTTTTGTTAATGGATATCATTTTTAGTGTTATTGGTTATCGGGTACCCGAACCGATAGTGTTAACGGTACGGGTACCCGACCCATGCTCACCCCTAGTTATGCATGCAATCTTGTTTTAGGTGCATATGAATAGAGATTCATGAAATTCCGCTTAGAGTATCTAAATCTCTACATGTGGTACCGACGATTAGCTGTGTAATTAAGTAGCTGTTAACTATGAGATAAATAATTGAAATATGAATGCGTGTTCAGTTAGTAGTTGTTGACTAGCTGTTAATAAAAAAATTAATACTTTTTTTCCTTAAAAGTATATAATAAATTTTAATAGCTACATAGTTTTAATTTTCAAAAACTAATATTATTAGCTTTTAATAAAAGCTACCTCCACTAAAAGCTATCCCAACCACTAAAAGGCCAAACGCTCATTTTTTTTTTCTTTATTAAGTGGTGATATGACTTGGTCAAATTACTAAAAGCTACTCAAAAGCTGGTAGCGAACACGCCCTAAAAAAAAATACTCCGATAACAACTATTACCCAAAATTAACTACTCCCTCCGTGTTTAAATAAATGAAACAACGTTTCCCTTGTGCACGTATGCTAATGCAATACTTTGACTTATAATAATATCTTTAAGGAAAATTTAACAAGAATAATCCAACCTTTGCTCTGTTCTCCTAAAATAATCCAACCTTTAAATCCGCTGAAAATAAGCCTAAGTTTTTATTTTTTTTCTCTCTTAGTAAACCCAAGTATTTAATCTGTGATTTGAACAACCAGTCATTTTTTTATTTTCCTTTAATTAACTTTTTTAAATTAAAAAAATAAAGTAGTAAAAAAATTTAACTCAGACCACCCCCACCCCACTGCCAACCCTTCCTCCCCTCAGCTCCCCCCACAGCCAGCGGCCGCCGCCCAACCCACCCCCCGGCGTCGGCGACCCCACCCCACTTCCTTTCCTCACCCACGGAAGCCAACCCTCCCCTTTCCCCTATTCCCGTTGCCCCCACCCCTCCCCCCTTTCTCCCCTATTGGAAACGGCCCCCTGCCCTTCCCCATACCGGAAACGACCCTCTTTCCCCACCCAAATTCGCTGCCTCAAACCCTAAACCACCTTCCCGAAACCATCCTAAACAAATAAAAACAAAACCCTAAAACCCATTTTGATGGTTTTCAGGGTGGTTATTAAGGGCTAGAGGCGACAATTTTGGGAGGGGGGTCGATTCGAGGTGGGGAAAGGGGAGGGGGGTCGATTTGAGGTGGGTCAATTCGAGGTGGGGAAAAGGGAAGGGGGCTGATTCTAGTTGGTGGAAGGGGGAAGGGGATGGTGTACTGTCGAGGTAATAGGAATGGGAAAAGGGGAGGGCTGGGTTGCCGTGGGTGGGGGAAAGGGAGGGGGATGGGGTCGCCGGCGCCGGCAGCCAGCAGGGGAGGGGGTGGCTGGTGGGGGGGGGGCTGGAAGTGGTGGGGAAAGGAAGGTTTATTTTATTTTATTTTTATTTTATTATATTATCAGAATTTTTAAAAATAAAAATAAATGATTTTTTTTAATTATCATAATTTTGAAAAATAAAAAAATTAACCAATGAGGACATGACACGTGAATTGCAACCTAGTATAACAGGTCAAGTGACGTGCTAGGGTTGCTATGGGAGAAAATTAACAAATTTAGGTTTATTTTAGACAGGTTTAAAGGGCTGATTATTTTAAAAGAACGGAGTAAATGTTGGATTGTTCTTGTTAAATTTTCCTTCTCCCTCTGTGTTGTAATAAGTGTTACACTTACTAAATGCAGCCGTGTTTTAATAAATGTCATACTTCCTTTTTTGGCAAGAAGCTACATTTTCATATTATATCTTTTTCCACTCATGGTCCCTACTCAAACCCACTACTAGTTTTTTTTTATTATTATTTCTTTCCTCTTACATACATTATTTTTCAATAAATTATTACCCCACTATCTTTCTTTTACAATTTTTTAATACTCTAACTACCCCACTTATCTCTTATTTTATTTAAGTCAATTAAATTGCCTAAAACTATGTGCCGGCCAAACCAGTAACACTTATTAAAACACGAAGGGAGTATCTTTAATTATGAATAAATTAAAATTACAACAATTGAATATTAATTAACTGTTCATTGAGAGAATTCTAACTAGTACCCACAAGACTATATTTATTCTTATATATAAATCACAAACATTAGTTAAAGTGAATTAGATAAATAGTGTAAAAATTCAAAATATTTCATTTATTTAAATACGGAGGAAGTATAATGTCTAAATTTTTGTACCAGTCAAAGTGTTGCGACCGATCCAGAATGAATAAGTATTGTAACTTTTTCTTATTGCATGCATCTATTTTATTTTTGTTTATTTTTTGAAAACTGCATATATTTAATTAATAAAATACACATTTGTTAAGGAAAGATCCCCGTTGTTGAAGTTTATAAAATATGGATTATATCAATTAAATTATCAAGTAAAACATACTTAGTCAACGATCATAATATGACAAAGTCAAAGAATCAATGTTGATTAGATCCCATCATCTCTTCAAAATTGTTCAATTAGTTCGTATCTTCCATGCATAAATCCTGATTAAGACATAGGATCTAATTAAGCTCCCATAACATATCCTCTTGATTCATCCAATCCATCCATATTGTACCTTCACCCATATTAAAATGGTAGCTCGTTTTCGGATTCGGTACTGTCAAAGATTTACCAAAATTTAAGCTAGTTTTACCGAATAATTAGAAGAACTAATTAACTACTAATCAAAGATTTTGTAATGACCAGTTATAAAACTATAAAAGCTGCATTGACAAATTAGCCAACATACATATCTCCCCAACAAATTAAACATAAATTAATCCTTCAAATAGTTACGTCTCTCTAGTGTGTACCTTATAAGGGCATTTTCATCATTTCAGTTTGTACTCCCTTTTTAACAACCAACCAAAGAGGTTCAGACAAAGAACCTAATTTCCTGTATTTTTTGTTTACATTTTCACTATTTTCATTTAAAACAAAATCCGTTTTTTTTCTCCTTTTTCTCATATTCATATTAGAACACTTAAGTTACAAACACAAATCTTAAAACGCTCAATATTTTTACTAAAAAAGGAGGACTGTAGATCCAAAGCCTATATCTTTTAATTCCTTTAACGGAAACCTTGTCTCGTTTCAAAAGGCTTTTGAATTAACTTGTTTTTTAAAAAAAAAATGAAAAATTTTAAATTTTTGTTCAAATAAAAAGTTTGAATTTTATCTTTTAGAGTAAATTTTTTCAAATATAGTCTAAAAGCTTATTTTTATTACTCCGTATCACATATAATTGGAGATAAATAAAGTGAAAATTAAAATACCGCTTTTTGTTTCTCTCCATAAAAATAAAAAACTAATTAAAAATAATAGGGGTTAGGAAAGGAAGAAATTAAAGTCGTCTAGTTTTGGAAGACTAATAGAAAGAAAACCACTCTCCCAAAAAATAAAAATAACATATTATTATTATTATTATAACAAACTCCTCCCAAAAATTAATTTCCATAGGAAATAAACAAGAGAAGAAGAAGAGGAAGTTGTCCTTTATCATCTTGAGCATTCATTTCAATCCCAGCTTTTTTTCCCTTATATCCTCCTCATCACTATTTCCAATTAAACACAACCGACTCTCTCTCCTCTCTCTTTCTCTCTCTCTCTAATTTGTTCTTTCTCTCCATGGGTTTCCTAGGAGAGGTGGAAGCAGCAACAGCCGCGGCGGCCACGCAGCAAGAGATGAAACACCACCTGTTTACTTCTGGTGGTGTTGCTCATCCTTTCATGGCCACGAGCACGACTGCGGCTGCTGCTACTGCTCCTCATGGTATTAATAGTAGTACCAACAACAACAATAATAATAATAATAATAATAGTAAAAATATTAATAGTAATGAATCATCTCATTTGGATTTACAACAATTCTCTCTCCTTCATCATCACCACCACCAACAACAACAGCAGCCGCAACATCATCAGCAACAACATCATCAGCAACATCATCAGAATATTTCATTCAACATGATGCAATCGTCTCCATCATCTTCTTCCCTTCCTGGGAATAATTTCATGTAATTATTAGTTACATACACACTCATCAATATCATAAATATAAAACCTAGTCTATTTTTTCATTTCTTTTCTCTTTCATATGTATTTATATGACCGTATTTTTTTCTGACATTTTAGAGGCACGGGAAAAGAACACAATAGTTCTACTGGAGCGTACGACTTAGGCGAGCTAGATCAAGCTCTCTTCCTTTACCTTGACGGCCAAACAGATCATGAACAACAACGACGTGAGTAATAATTCATTTTTATCTTTTTTAGTTTTTGTTTTTTTTTTTTTTTTTTTTTTTTTTTTTTTTTGGTGTGAAAAAAAAATGGAGCAGAAGATGAAGATTCTTTGAGGATGTGATTGGGTCATAAGAAAAGCATGATCAGAATTTCTGATGAAAAATCTTCCGTACTTTTATTTTTCTTTGACTAGATCATCAAAAAAAAAAAATAACCTTTTCTTTTATCATCTTTTTTCTAAATAAAAGCAAAATTTTAATTTTAATTTTTCTTTTTTCTGAAATAATAGTCTCAAGTAATTTGAGGATGTGTCAGATGAACTCAAAATGCATGCTTAGCTACTTTATTTTCCTACAACAATAAGCACCGCTATTATTTCTACTACTACTCACTCACCTTTCTCTCTCTTAGCATAGCTTGCCATTGCTAGTAACAAAGTTAAGTCATTTCATCAATTATTGATCATCATCTACTCATCAAGTGCAACAGATTCTCATGTCTTTAATTATTATTCACGGTCGTAGTCTTTTTTATGATTACCATGTTGTGATTATTTGATTGATTGATTGATTTGATGTTAGGGTTTAAATTTGTTACAGAAACTCACAACTCGTCATCAACCTCACCGCCTAGCAGAGGTGGACTTGGAGGCGGCGGTGGAGGTGGAGGAGGAGGAATGAGACCGCCAACTCTAAACATTTTTCCTTCTCAGCCTATGCATGTTGAGCCTTCTACCAAGGTATTCTATTACAACTTTTAAACCGTTGTTGACTATTTCGGTATTTCCTTTTTTTTATTTCTATTTATTTTCATCTTCTTGTACAAGCTTTATTCATAAAAAATTTTGTTATAAAATTTTAATTAATTTTTGTTACGGTTGTTATTAAAGCCGAGTCCTGGAGTACTAGGAGGAGGTGGTCAATCAACGAGTGGCGGTACAAAGAGAGCATCGGAGCAGCAGCCACCAATTGAGTTGTCCAATAATAACAACAACAACAATAATAATAAATCGAAAAATCAACACCAAGTACCCGCTGAACAATCCAAGTCTATCAAAGTAAGTTGATCCTATACGATTATAAATTGATATAGTTGTAAACAATTGTTGTCGTGATTTTAATATTATCAACCCGAAAACGAAATGAAGAATTAAATTAATAATGTGTTGTATTTAATTACATTATTATTTTTTCTATGGGAGCAGCGTGAAGGTAACCGCAAAGGTCCAACATCAAGCTCGGAACAAGAAGGGCCGAAAACACCCGACCCTAAGGTTGTTACCATCGCGATCTTTGTACTCCATATTTGATTAATAACAATAATAATGAAATTTCATCATATGAATATGATGATCAATTGAAGTCATAAGTAAATAAAACGAGGAATTGAATTTGTAAAAATTCAACGAATAACGCTTTCAAATTGTACTGTGTTTGGGTATTGCTTGCAAGCAGACATTAAGAAGACTTGCTCAAAATAGAGAGGCAGCTAGGAAAAGCAGGCTTAGAAAAAAGGTAAGTCAATGTCACAGCTTTACATTTTTAATATATTACATGCATTTAGCCATTTTCATAGTCCTTTGTTTGTTAAGCTTTCCTATTCAACTAGTACAATTTGTATATTTATCTACTAACCACTATATTTTATCAACATTTTTAGTTAAATTAATAATGTACCATTTAATTTATTTATATGTTTGTTTCATTTATTTATTTATTTATTTTTTTGAAGAAACTTATTTTTAATTAGTTTTGTTTTACTCATATGTTTAATTAATTAATTTGTTCAAACTTCAAACAATGCAGGCTTATGTTCAGCAGTTAGAATCAAGTAGGATAAGACTTGCTCAGTTAGAACAAGAACTTCAACGCGCCCGAGCACAAGTAAGTTTATTTAATCTATCACCTAATACAATTTTTATTTTTTATTTTTTTATTTTTATAATTACGGTCCCATTTAATTAAAATTTAGTTGTTACATCACTAGTTCAAAATTTAATGTAAGCTTTACTAATAAATTCGGAGAAAGTATGTGACGAGTGTATAAGAAAATGTTGACATTTAATTTCGTTTATTAAGGGTATATTTTTCGGAGGAGGTGTAGCTGGAGGCGGAGGAACGGACCAAGGTGTCCCTCTTGGTGTTACCAACATAAGCTCAGGTACGGTACTCAATTTTAGTCGTATAAGTAAGGCATCATATTAATTAAATCATTATTATAATCCTAGTTGAATATATGTATGTTTGACAACTTGTAGTAGTTAATGACAATTTTTAATAATTAATCACTAATTCAACCCTTTATATAGTCATACCAAACAGTACGAATAAATAACACAGAATATGTCAATCATTACTAAAATTAGTACTAGTTACGGCGTAGTAATTTTTTTTTTCTTTTTTTTTTAAATATATATATACATATATAGATGCAGCAGTGTTTGACTTGGAATACACAAGGTGGCTGGAAGAGCACCACCGGTTGACCTGCGAGCTCCGAGCAGCGGTACAAGAACATATATCAGAGAACGAGCTCAAAATGTACGTCGATAATTGCTTGGCACATTACGATGTGATAATGAATCTCAAGGGCATGGTGGCGAAAACCGACGTGTTCCACCTAGTTTCCGGTATGTGGAAGACCCCGGCCGAGCGGTGTTTCATGTGGATGGGTGGTTTTCGCCCTTCGGAGGTCATTAAGGTAATACACACTTCTTCTATTAGCCACACGTACTAATGTTAACCTAAGCTCCCACTTTAAAGTAGTTCTTTCATAAAATAATGATTTACTTTAAAGTGTGATTAATTTTACCCTATTAATAAGGAGTAAGGACATTGTGAAAATCATTCGTGCTATTCCGCTTGGAGACAACAACTTTAATTTGTTAGTTATACATGACCATATATTTTAATGCATATTAATAAATACTTGTACAATTATTTTTTACATAAAAACACTTTTGGCGATAAATCTATTAAAATTATAAATTATAATGTAATGCGAAGTTTGATTTAATGATCAAAGCTAGCTAACCAATCTAATTATCTTTATATATTCGTATAAAGTTCAATATATACATGCACTCTAATATTGACGTTTCTTTTGGATGACAAAGTGCTAGGAATACTAATTAATAATAGCATGAGAAGCACTAGGAAGTACAATCAAATTTCATCTTTCTATTGATATAAATTGTAGAAGAAATTATCAAATCAACTTTAATATGGAGTAACTTTTATTTTCTTAAATAAGAACTACTCCTTTCGTTCATTTTTATTATTCCATTTTATCCAAAAATTTGAATCTTTCGTGTCACATGCGACCAATTAATCGATTATAGTCGTCTGTAATAATAAGTTAAAGGTAGTTTGTTTATACACTCTTAATATTAAATTCTTACCCTTGTTATAACCCTAGTTTAAAGTCTACACTAATAACTAATTACTATACATATTTTTTGTGACTTTAAGTTGTGCACTCACTTATATGCCGAACTTGATATTACTTTTCTAGTTGGCTTAAAAAGATGAGTAGGATGATAAACTAGATAGAACACGATCCTAAGCCAAAATTATACGGAGTCCCTCTGCTTTTTACAAGTGTTACAGTTTTAACGGATATTTATTAGCTAAAATATTTTATCAATAATATTTTTAATATCTATTATATTAGTAAAGATAAAAAAGATATAAATATTATGAAAGTTTACATTTTAACTACTCCATAAACATTATATTTGTATTATACAATAATATATGAAAAAATAAAAAAAGAAAAAGGACATGGGTTCAGATAACATGGAGTTAGGAGTACAATTTGTCTTAGAGTAAAGTGGGTGTGGGGAGAAGAAGATCTGCATGAAGGGTATGAAAATAAATGAAGAAAGGAATCTTGAAGGAGGTTTCCAATATAAGGACTAAAATGAGGTGATGTTCTGGTTCAACCCTAAAGCAGTGTCTGTTACTTCTTCTTATAGACTTCATCCTAATACCATTATATGGTGGTACTCTTAATTTATGAATATGGGCAAACTTGCACGGCTCTAGCTACTCCCTTACTCCCTCCTTTTCTCTCTTTCCTCTTACATTCATCAGCCTTGGATTATTGTATGATCGTGTCTTTTTTATTATATATTGTAATAGTTGAGTTTTATGCTATTCACACACTATCATGTGATAATCTATTGAGATTATCTATGTAAATAAAAGTATAATCAAGTGATGTCTTGTTACTGTTATTAGTTTTGTCTTGATATATACTTTAGTGATATCATGAGTTTTTTATAAGTATAAATCTCTATTGTTGCAATAATTAAAAATAAATAAATATTACATGATAACTATTTCATTTTTTTGGTTCCTAGAAAATTTTAAACAAAGTATGAGTAATTTTGATATTTATACTAGCTTAAGCTGATGGTTGAGGTTCAGGAATATGTTTTATACTCTATCAAGTCCCCTCACATGAGCGCCCGTTGGGCTTGAAGTGTGGATGCAACATGACCTCTCTTCAATCTTCATACCCTGCGCTTAATTCCACTTTAAAAGAAGGGGCAGATGAGATTCGAACCCGTGACCTTTGTCTCATGTTGGCTCTTGATACTATGTTAAAGGAAAAACTCAACCAAAAGGTTAAGTTGTTGGTAGATTGGTAGAGGTCCGGGAATATGTTTTATACTCTATCAAATTATGCATAGTTCATTTTTTAGTATTTCTACTTTTAGAATACCCTTATTGCAAGTATATTTAAATTAGTCCTATGGAAAAAAAAAAAAACCTTATTTGGTTGCGTTTTTGGCGTTGTTATTAGATAATATTGCACCAAATCGAGCCATTGAGTGACCCACAATTGATGGGCATATGTGGGTTGCAACAATCGACGCATGAGGCCGAAGAGGCGCTATCGCAAGGGCTAGATGCACTGCAACAATCTCTCTCGGACGTGATCGCCTCCGATGCCTTGAGTTGCCCTCCTAACATGACCAATTACATGGGTCAGATGGCTCTTGCCATGAACAAGCTCTCTACGATGGAGAACTTTGTAAGACAGGTACGCTAATTAATTATATCTTCAGCAAATTATTAGTATTATGGACTTATGGTAGTACTTTGAATGATTAAGTTTCCCTCAATGCATTTGTCCTGATTGTCCTACCTTAACATAGGTAACATTAAATGACTAAAATCAAAACTTACATTAGTTGACCTTTCTCCAAAATCTCAATTATGATGTCACACTTTTTTTTGAATGAATTATGATGTCATTCTTAATCTCTCATAATTAGTACTTCCGGTTTGATTATTATTAATAAATGTAATATGCGGAAAGTCTAATGTTTCCTTCGATTTTTTATAGTACTATCTATTAGATTATAACTTTAATACTCTTACTATATATATTGTCTATATATACATATATCTATAATTAAAAGGTTATGCAACAATTAAAATTTTAAATATATATAGTATATATATATTGAGATAATAAATCCAACAAGATTATATATTTTGTCTCATATGGAGTATATGCAAAAATAACCAACATTAAATACGTAAATAATGTGAAAACAATAAGATATACGAAGTAACCAATAAAGAAACGAAAGAAGTAGGAGCAGTGAGAAAGTGCTTCCAAACTTGGGGAACATCTAATAGCTTTGTTTAATTTTCCTTTTGGACAAAAAAAGGCATAAAGTAAATTAGAGTACATGCACTAGGCTAAGTTAAAGGCCTATTGGATAAGAAGGGGCATGTAATCCTAATTAAGTTGCATGCATTTGTCATCTCTTTGGCACGTTACACAAAAATACACTTTTTTTCAAGGCTTGACTTACCTCATGTTATCGAGAACGTAATATACTGCTATATACAATATAACAATAACATATAAGCAATTGTTATTTTTAAATGCGATTTAAATTATTGTTATATTATTTGAGAGTAAGATAGATTTAACACTGTAATTCGTGTTTAGGGGCTATTTCGATCCGTATTTAATTTGAGCATATATAAAGCTAATTTTGGAAATCGGGTGGGACCAAAAATGGAAGTAAAGAATCAGGTACTGCTATGGTTGGAAAACCTACTCCAATCAGATAACCTACTACAAGAGCATGGCTAATTATTGGAGTATTAAAAAAAAGGTGTCAAAAAAGGATAAATGTCCTTTATAAATAGTTTTTGAAATGGACCCTCAAATTTAGGAAAAGGGCAAAAATTAAAAAGAAAACCCTAGTGTTCTGGTTAGAGAGGGACATTTAGCATAGTGACAGCTTGGCTTAATTAATTATGTTTTGTGATACGTGGCATTTTACACCAACTTAGTTGAACTTAATTTTTTCAATTTTATTTTGATTATTGAATATAATGTTGATTAGATTAGAAGCGTCTTAAGACTCTTAACTACTATTTTATATAGTTTGCGGACCACTTTTAACAAGATAATTGGTTTTTGGTTTTGAGTTATATATAATTCATTAAATTAATTTCAACTTGATTTTCAGTAATCAAGCGTGCATAGTTATAGGTGAAAACAAGCGCTAGCTAAGCTAGAGATATGACATTTGAATTATAATATGTTAATCATTCATGGTGCTCTTGATTTTCAATTTTTATAATTATGAAAATTAATATATTTCAATCTTACCTAAATATTTAGGTAGCATCCTAATTTAGAGTTAACTAATGTGGTCATGAGTATTTATACTATTAAATCTATCTACTTTTTCGTTTGTACATAGTTTTCACATTATTATTCACCACAATGTGACTATTAAAATCTTTAAAAAAAAATATTTATATATATTTTATATTTATACTTTGTATTTTGAAGGAAATTTGAACCAACTCAAAGGATATTAATAAAGTATGAACTACATTATAATATACTTTGTCTATATAACAATAATTAACACTAATTAATTAAATAAATAATAAATATAGCAACAAGAAGTGGTTTTTTTTTTTATTTATTATTTTGGGATAAAAGGTTGAGTAAGACTAGAAATTCATATTTTCTTCTATGGAGCACATAATAATAGAAAAGACCTACCTGAGGGATGACCAAAATAGCGTTCAAAAAAGCTCCAGTTATTCAAGCGACTTTTTTTGTGAAAGAAAAAATCGTAGGAGTGAATTTCGTAGCATGTTGGGATTGAAAAGTTACCTTATACAAAAGACTTTGTGGCCATTATTATTTGTAAAACACCTGAGTGGCTTGAGTTTGATTACTCACGACACCACTCAAGTCCACCTTCAAAATTTGTCCCCGATGTGATGTTACATGGTTTCAGAATAAATAATCACATATTCATATATACTCCCTTTATCTCTTTATTTTTATCCCATTTAACTTTTTACGATTTTCAAGACACGTGTTAAATCGTTTATATATCTATTTTTACACGTGAGAAAATTATAAAATGTTGATATAAATTAAATATACAATGAGACGAATCAAACAAGATTCCACATGACTATATTACCTATTATAGAATAACGAGAATTTATGGTCAAAATTTTCAAATTTTAACAATAGAGCAAAAAAATAGGGACAGGAGGAGTACATAGTACTTTATATTTACGTCTATATAAAGTTATCACGTTTTCTTGAAACAAAAATTGATTACGATTGAATTACGCATTACATTTTTATTGAAACTGTGTGATTGAGAAATTATAATCAATTGTGACTACTTTTATTATTTATTCAAATGGAAGAATTTTTCTTTTTCTTTATTTTTTTTTAAAATTTTATATCAAAAATCAATTATTTAGTTGATATACTCTTTTCCCTTTAATGGCCATTAAGAGTCTAAGACCAATACTTACTATGGTTATATAAGGAGTATAATGTACGGATTATTATAAAAATAAAATCAAATTAGCATGCATTATAAAGTTAGTTTTGGATCAATTGAATTTCCGCTATTAGATTTCATTAAGATAGACATTACGAAATAATCTAGTTACACAAATTCTTGATTAAGGTGAACTTTCATTAAATTATTGTAAGACGAGTTAAAATTACCCTAAAAATATTTAAAGTTACCCTTTTATACTACAAAAGTTATCTTTTTAATAACAAAAATTTTACCCTTAAAAATATTTAAAATGTATTAGATTAATTGTACACAATCAAACTTATACAAATAACTATTCAAAATAAATAAATAAATTACTCTTTACGGGGTTAAAATTACCATAAAATTGTTAAATTACCCTTAAATTGATTGTCTTTAATAAAATTAACGTAAGTCCGCCTAACACTAGACTTATTGATCTAGTTAACAGCCGGACAGACACTCACTCGGTGTAATAGTGAACTAGTTTTTGGGCCGGGCGATGCCCCGAATTATTACATGGAATTGATCATTAATATACGTTGTAATTTATGATTCAATTTTCTTGTAATTAAATTTGTTGTTTATATTGTCATTTGCTACATATTTATATTTTGTATTCAAAAGATTGCATAAAAAATCACATACCTTGGTTGTAAAACACTTAGTTCTAGAATTAGAGATAGCGGGTTTAAATCTTGTGGAGAACTTTTTTTTTTTAAAGAAAAAGAAATTGATGATGAGTGCATGACATGCAATGAAAAACAAATGGAAGGAGAGCCACGTGGCATAAGAAGTAGTAGGTGGGTGACGTGGCGTAATGAGAGGGTTACGTGACACGTAGACGTTCTCGACCTTTTAATATATTAGTATAGGTAGTACCAAAAATTAATTTATTGTGAGAGAACTGTTTTATTATAGAAAAAGGTGGTGTCACGCGAATATTAATGAACATTCGCAACACAGAGAATGGAAGTTAGAAAGCATGCATAAAAAACAGAGATAAAAGTGGGCCCATATAAATATCAACATCGAAAGATCATTTAGGCCCATAACGCATGATGTCAGAGTCATAACCGCTTGACCTACAAAACTCCATGGCCCATCGCCCCATCCCACTCTCATAAATCCCCTCTTCTCTTCTCACATCACCTTTTTCCAATCAATTGCTTCTATTCTTCTCTCATACTTCCACACCTCTATTTATACTTCACTATATAATTAAAATCAAATACTTCGTTAATTCTAAATTCTAATGTGTAAAAATTATTTCGTATAAAAATTAAATATTAAAAAGTAAATTGATGTGAATCTAATAAGGTTTTGCATGGTTTCAAAAAAATAAACAAACAAATAGATAAGGTTTTACATGATTATATTTTTCATAAAATATTTCCTTTGTTTTTTTTTTTTTTTACTTGACCTATTTTTTTTATCACACTTGTCGATGCACAACTTTAACCATTAATAACTTTAATTCTCTATAAGTAAAAATTATAAAAGTTATATATTGTGATATTACTTATATAGATGTTGTAAAAATATCCCACATGAACATATTTTTCCTTACGTATAATTCACAAAAGACGGTCAAAGGTGGGGTGATGAATAGTATAAAAGTTAAAGTGGATCAAATAAAAAAGAATAGAGGAAGTATAAATCACCTAAGCTAGTTTTAGTAGAGTATATGAATAGTGCATAATTAAAATATTAAAGTGTCAAGTAAAAGACAAAATTTGTGTAATTTTTTGGTACATAAAATTAAAATCATTTTGATAGTGTTGCTTCTACTTTATGATTATTTTGTTTACAGAATTTTGTTCAACTTCATGTGATGGGTAGAAAATTAAGTCATTTACCACCTTAGTTTTAATATTGTGATACATTTGAATATTTGATAATGCTCACCAAAACTTATTGAAGCAATGCAATGTATACTTCATTTTCTATTAAATTTCACAAAATTTGATCTTGATTTTGGAAACTATTTTCATATATACACTTTATTATTATTATTGTTATTATTTTATTCATCTTCTATGGAAAACAATTAAAAAAAAAGTCAAAATTGCATTCAAAAATTATAAAAGGGTCCTATTGGGTTGGAACTTCTCAACTATTTATCTTATCCGGTTTATCGGGTAAGTCCTTTAGGAGTAAGGGGAAAAGGGTAAGGGAATTCTCACCCCCAAAGTGTTTTTAGTGGGGTTTGATTTCCATTAGACCAAGCATTGCTTGGTAGTTGTGAAGTCAAATATGACTGTAAGTTTACATACAACCTTTAACCAATCCATGCTACGGAGTGTTACAAGGTTAGTTTTAAAAACCAGTTAAAAAATGTTCATTGTTTACAAACTAAGTTAGTCGACATTGACTGTCATAGGGACAGAAGTTGAAATTATACCTCCTGTTAGAATGGAACTGGATAGCAAATGTGAATATATTATGCCTCCATCATGTTCAACATCGGACTTTGACAGTTTGATTAGTCACCATATTATGGATAATTCAATACCATACCTATTGACAAAAATGAATGAGACATATGCAGGGTACATAACTGATAACTACATAGTAGTAGATTTGTGTTGTCAACTTCTTGCTGGTAGCTAATAAGCAGTTTTCAATAATCAAATTATCTTCTGTATATACTTCCTTTCCTATTTGTCAAATCATAACCATAACCACACTTATATTATTAATTATAATTATTATATCTTCTAATTAAAACCCTTAATCTTGTGATAAAAAGGAAGGGTCCAAAGTGTCACCCTATGTTTCCATTAATTACCAAGTATATAATATGGTTCTCCTTTGACAGTTCAACCATTCACAGCTAAAGTCTAATCAATCATACTAAGTTGTGTAACATTTCTATCAATTTTCAACCATCCTATAGTCCTATCATTGATTAATACCATGAATATTACCCAATCTGCGTTTTTCTAGTGCAAATATGCTTCTTTGAAGTCCAATTCACATTCATATTCTTATTCAAGACTAAAGACTAGACCTTTAGTCTTTCTTAGAGATATGTACTAGAATTTGTGTCAAAAAATGCATAATTGTCATGATATTATTATGGTCGTTGAGTAATATTAGATGATACGTATCTAGAGATGCGCTTAATTTATTTTTGTTACAAAATTAAAGTTTTTAAATACAGTGTGGATATGTCGTATAGATTTGTTTTATCTATATCTAAATCTTTGATATTTACTCAAGTTTCAGATTTCTAATGTGAACAATTTCTTTTATATTGTGTTTATACTATACCTTTTTTTGGGATAAAGAAACTTGAAAGTGAGGGAGGAGGATAAAGGATACGCTCTTCCCCAAATACTTGTAGTCGGGTAGGATTTGACCTTGTGACTTCAAAGTTACAATGTGAATTCCCAACCAACTACACCATACCAGGCCTTGGTTGAAACACACTTACATATGTTTGTACGTATGTATATACATATAGTACACACGTATATGAATAGATTCACCAAAAATGAATACACTATATACATGGATGAATGTGTAGATTATCAATAAAAGCATGCATATATTCAATAAGCATAATGTTAGATCATTTGTTTTTTTCTCAATTTCATACATCTTGTACTAAAAAATTAATCATCAATTTGATGGACCAATAAAAATCAGGTGTACAATATCTAAATCAATAAACTTTAATTTTGTTTTTCAGGGAGATAGTTTAAGGCACCAAACTTTTCACCGGTTGCATCAAATATTGACAACGCGTCAAGCAGCGAGGTGTTTTCTGACGATAGCTGAGTACTTCCACCGGCTTCGCGCACTAAGCTCCTTATGGATGGCTAGGCCAAGGCAAGAATAGATAGCATGAACAACTCAAAGGAAGAAAGCTAGCTAGCTAGTGATAGAAGAAAATTTGCAAAAGTTTTTCAATATACTATATTTTCTAATAATAGTTAATCATGATCAATGTGCTTCCTCTTAAAGTTTATGAGGTACCAATTTCTAAGTATAATATTGCTTAATTAAATCTTGTGTTGGTCTCGTAAAGATGTGTATACAGATAGTTAGAATGCGTAATTTTAGATATAGATGCACTAGACAATCTCTTGCACCTTTTTAATGAGACAATTTTTTAGTTGTGTTGTTACAAATTAGGAATGAGAATTTTCCAATTAAGCATGGTTTTGTAAGGATTTAGGTACTCTAAGCGGAATTTCATGAATATACGCACTTAAAACAAGATCGCATGCATAACACACAAGAATCACATAATTATGCCTTTGAAGCGTGATCTCCATGTAGCAAGTTGCTTGACAATTAGGGAGAGAATAGAGCCCCAAGCCTTGTGTAACACTCCCAAATTTCCCTCTACGGAAATACTAGTATAATACATATAATTATATCGTAGAAATAGACTTAGGCGTATTACCGCCGCGTGATTACGCAAGGCTACTCAAACTACTAACCAAAACCAATACTACTTTGCAGCGGAAATTCAAACTCTTTCTTTATTAATAATAACTATAAATAGAAACCATTGTCATGAGTACTCATAATTAAACAAAGACCAACAATCTTAATTCTAGGTGCAGAACATTCCCGGGACTCCCATATGCTTAATTATTGACTCCACCTGAAAATAGTTAACACTGCTTACCATTAAGTAAACAGGGCGAATCAAAACAAATAGGAAACACGGATTAGCAAAATATGCTAAGTACGATAAGTGCAAGATAATGTAAACTCAATTTATTTGCAAATATGCTTTTAAAAACCAATTCTAATGTTAATCCAATAATTCCAAAACTCATGATTCAAAATAAATTCCAATAATTCAATAATTTGATAAAATGATTTATAAAACCAATTCCTCTTTTGAAAACCAATCCTCCAATATTCTCAAAACAATTCCAATAACTCAATATTAATGATTAGTAACAATTATTTTCGAAAACTCAATCTCCTCTCTAAGTGTGCACACCCCCCCCAAGCTATTAGTCTCCTACTATTTTAAGGCTATTCTTGAGAAAAGACTAGGTCATACAAAGTCCATAGTCTTCAATGAATCCGCATAGTGGGATTAATATAATAATCAGTCTTGTAAAGCTTTTTAATAAAATCATCTTTAAATTCCTCTTTGAATAAAATCAAACTTTTCAAAAACTCCTTTTGTATTTAATTCAACAAGCTTTTAAAATCAAACCATTTTTTTTTTCCAAAAACTCTTTTAAAACAATCCAACATATTTTTATAAACCAAACTCCTTTAAACATAATAAATAATTTCAAACCATTCAAAACATGATATAAAATCAATCCTCTAATTCATTTATCAAAACCAATTTTAAAACATGCTTTATTTCATAAATCTTAATTTAATTCAATTTGATTTAATCATCATAAAAATCATGTAAAACATGCTTATTCAATCCAATCAATTTCAAATGTATCTAGCCACCTAAACGTACCTTGATTCCGAATATCAATCAACACTTCGCACTTTCAAAATTCAATCACGAATACACCTTGCAATTAACATAACCATAAGGTTATCACAACATCTTTAGACATAAACCCAAATTTAATGTGCATGTACTATAAAGCTCTTTTAAAATAATAATTTTATAAAATTATAGCTTTGAAATAGGTATTTACATTTTAGAAAACTAACCATGAAGAATATAAAGGAATAGGATTAAAGAGAATTGGATTTGCGTTGGAAAGAATAGGCAAAATTTCAGAGGCCATAAATCTTTTAATATAACTCTGAATTGGGTGATTCTTGAGCCTAAACTCAAGGATTTTTCGAGAGAAATAATTTTTCGTAAAATAGCAAAACCCCAAAACGGACCATAAGTGCCTGAAAATTGGCTCCAAAGATATACAGGCTGATTTTCTTTTAGAAAAGAGGAGAAAAAAAGTAGGAAAAGGTTAAGGGAAAAAAAGAGTAAGAGAGAAGAAGAGAATTGAGTTTTTGGTATGAAGAATATGAGAGGTATGAGGGGGTATTTATAGGCTAGCTCATGCAAGAATCATGGTAGAAGAATGTAGGAAGAATTATGGTAAATTGGTTTAAGAAAATTACTTGGAGAAGAGAGGTAAAGAATGTAGTCATGAAATATTAAATAGTAAATGGCTTTGCTTGGGGAATAATCAAGAATGGTTTAAGGTAAATAAATAAGATGATCTAATATTTAGGAGATAGAAAATAAGAATTAAGGAAAATAATATAATAGGAAGATAATTAAAATACAAAAATTACGAAAATAATTTTGCTCAAAATACAATATAGTGGCCGAAAATTTGAGCTTTCCCAAGCTCATATTTTCGGACCTCCCTTTAAATATTTAGGCAATTATTTTGCTAGTTTTTAAGGAATAAAAATGATTGTGTAAATAATATATTTTGTATAAAATAATTAATTAGAAAAATACCAATTATTCAGAATTAATTTAACTAAGAAAATCAAATATTCTACACTTAGAAAATCCAAAAATCCTAGCTAGTTAATTAGGGAAATTCGACCCTTTTAAATTAAATAAGAAAATATAATTTTGCTTAATTAAAATATCCGAAATATATATAAATAATCCGGTTTTTAAAATATAATAAATGGATAATAAATCTTATCCAAAAATCCAAAATAATAATTGAGTTTTAAAATGTTTTTGGCGCCAAAATTCAAATATCATTTTGGCTCCGAAATTCAAATAGTAAAATAAATTACTATAATACCCTTTAAAGAAAATATTAATTAATTAATTAATTAATTATTAGAAAATACGTTTCAAAAATACGGGGTATTACACCTTGCTCCTCTACTTAGTCCACGGGATTTGAATGAGCCGTCCACCAATACTAGATTGGTCAGATGAAGGGTAAACACCGCGATCACCACCTTTATGGACAACTGACCACCACAAAGAACACCACCACCACCACCACCACGCACGGATACCGACGCAAGTAGGGGAGAGAGACGTGAGAGAGAGAGAGGTTAGGGTTTGTGTTTGCTAATTAGGGTTTGATCAAACTGATCAGTAAAATCTATCTTCCAACCCTTAACACCTAGTCTATTTATAATCATATTAAATTAGATTAGGAAGCAAAGCCCAAACCCTCTAATCTACTCCATATGGCCGGCCACCTAGAGGGAGAAGGCCCATCATGGGCCTATTCCTCTTATGCTCAATCTAGGCCCTTTGTGTGACCTTATAGGATCCGTTCAGTTGGGCCTTATACTATTTTACTAGCCCAAAGATCGTTAGTACCTCTAACTATGATATAACGACGACCCAAAAGAACGAACTTAATTATCTCCATAATTTGATCCATTTATATATCTAGTAATTGCACTTGACGAAGACATAAAACCTTCAATCTCCCACTTATTTGAGACAAGTGTGCAATATTCAAATTCCTTAAGTCAATATGTGTCGATTTGATAGTTTGATTGCATCTCATGTCGAGATCATATTAATCTACGAATCATTTCTTGAAGTCTGAGTTAGAATTACAAAACAAAAGATTACTGAGTAATACATTTGAGCGCGGCCATGCATTTTCTGAATTCTCCCTCTTTAAGAGGCCATGACACATTTCTTAATTAAATAAGTAGACTCAATCCAATCTTGTAGCAACCAAAGCTTCCACTCAACTTTTGAAGTAACCAGGAAACACCTTTTATTGTCCCCTTTTACGGAATGACATTTTGATGTACCATAGTTAAATCAATCATTGAATGAAATCAGTGTTCCACTCATGTTAAAGGAATCCACTAATATATTCGGAAGCTCTATACTTGAACTTCAAAGTAGGTCAATAGTTCGATCATGCATCATTCATGCATGTACATGTGATTGACTAAGCATCTCTATGCCCCTACAACCTATGAAATTGCGCTATCCAATCAATCTTACATGCCAGTCCATTCATTTGAAATCATTTATGTCCAATTTAATGATTTCGAACTAGAAACTTAGATAATTTATGAATTTAGTTCACCTGTGGGGTTCCATTCGCCAAATCACGTATTTGATGATCCCATCAATTCATAATTATTTTGGACATTTTATTTAATATCAAACCACAATTAAATAAGAGAAATGAAAATTTCTTGATTAAACATAATTCTGCAAGTTAATGTATTACTTATGTAATAAGTTTTCTCAAAACAAATACAACTTAAATTACATAACTTGCTTCAATCCAAGAGCCCTAGTATGACTCTCATGCTTGGGCTGTGGAAGGGGTTTAGTAAGCGGATTAGTGATATTCTTATCCGTATGAAATTTGCAGATCTTGGAATCCCGCCTGTCAACGATCTCTCGAATGAGGTGATATTTCCTCTCAACATATTTGGATTTGTAATGTGACACTAGCTCCTTTGATTGGGCAATGGGGCCATTGTTGTCACTAAACAACTAAATTCCTCCCTGAGCACTTAGTATAATGTCTAGTGAGGAACTTCCTGATCCAAACTGCCTCCTTAGCTGCTTCTATCACAGCCAAATACTTAGATTCTATCGTGGAGTTTGCGACAGTGTTTTGCTTCGAACTCTTCTAGCTCATTGTTCCTCCATTTAGACAGAAATGTACCCAGATTGAGATATAAAGTCATCTTTATCTGCTTGGAAACTGGCATCCATATAACCCTTGACAACCGATTCACTTTCGCCACCATAAACTAGAATTCCTTTAGTTCTTCTCAAGTACTTAAGGATGTTCTTAGCAGCTTTCCAGTGTGCTTCTCCTAGATTTGCCCGAAATCTGCTATACATGCTCAAGGCATATACAACATCCCATCTTGTACATATCATGGCATACATAATGGACCCTATTGCAGAGGCATAAAGTACATTAGCCATACGCACTATGTAGGGAATTTTTCAAACTCATCTTTAAGCCCTACTGTGGTTCATGCTTTTTAGGCACGACAACGTTCCAAGAAAAAGAAGCTAGAGATAAAAGAGTCTCCAACAAGTTTTAGGAACTTGTAAACCGTTCACGGGTGTCAAGGTTACACCCC